GAACCCATACCTCTACCCTCCGCCCGTGTTCCCGTGTTGGGATCTCTCGGGAGGCCCTCGTCGCCACCCCTGGATTCGCCTCGAAAGTCTGGCCAGAACGCACCCGGGGAGAGGTCTGGGGAGTAGCGGTATCGGTACCTTTTGGCTTTTTTCCACGATTGTTTTTGTATGTGTATGGCGATCACCCTAAGACGAAGCCTGTACGAATATATATACAGTCAGGCGAGGACAAATCGAGAATCTCTGAGATCCAGCGGCTCGGGTGCCTCGGGCGCCGCGGCCTTCTCAGAGCGGTCTGGAACGCTCTGAGAGCGTTTCGAAACGCTCCTTGAACGGATTTATCCTCGTCCCAGCCCCGTCCGACACACCACCAGTTAGCGGCCCCCCCTCCCCCCAGGCACCACGGTGCTCTGCGGGTCCGCCCTCGGGCTCAGCTCGAGTGAGGAACTGTGGCGTATGCATAAGCATCCGGAGCCCCGAAAGTTTATGTGTTGTGGAGATTGTTGCTTTTAGGGTCGGGTGGAGACTGGGGTTCTCGGGCCAGCCCGCCCCCCCCCCAGATAACCCGACCTCGTCAATTGTACAGGTCCGACGGGGGTACGCGGGACTGGTGCGCGTGGGCATGCGCGGGGCTGCCCAAAGGGAAAAGGTTACATGATCGGCCGGCACTTCCCCCTCCCCACCCCACCGGATGACCCAGGCGATCGCCGAAAAACGATCTCCTGCCGAAGCACAGCGATCCAGGCCATCATGGGGTCCGACGCGCCGCATCGCCGATGCATCGGCTATGCGGCGCGGTGTCGTGCCCGAGGTGTTACACGCCAGCGGCATCGGTGCATCGCCGACGTCGTCGATGCATCGCCGATGCGTCGGCGATGCATGTGCGATGCGGCGCGATCTTCCGACCCCATCTACTCGGATCCCATCCAGGAGGCCTCTAACAACAGCGTGAACATACTTTCCCGGAGGTCCGCGCGGATTTCTTGGACAGGCGTTGGGCCCCCTTGGCGGCGCCTGCGGCGCCGCCCCTGGCGCGCTCCGCAAGCAAGGGAGGGGGGGTCCAGCGCCGATCCAAGAAACCCGCGCGGATCGCCGAGAAATCATGTTTATGCGGTTTCTTGATCCCCCAGGCTGGCGATGGTGCGCTACGAGCCGGGGCAGCGGTTCTCGCGTCTGCATGTCAGGGTAGCCTTTCGCCAGGGTGGCCCTCAGTGCGTGGCGCACCTATACTACGAAGGGCTGAGGTCGTTTTTGGGGTTCTGGAGGCCTTCGCTTGGCCACGGGACCGTCAAAAAGCGGCTCAGGATGCGAAACCAATTCTTGGTAAAGGGTCGAGATTTCCGTGGACCCCGCATTGGCAGCATCAGTACGTCGGATCTCTCGGCTACTCAAGCTGTTGCGAAGCGTCCTGGCCTGCCTGTAAGCCCACCACATTTGCTATGATAACCTTTTTGTAGCTTTTCCAACGTTATCAGAACAGACTTGGCTGAGGCAGTCTCGTTGTCAGACGTCGCTTCTACGTTCTAGGAGCATTGGTTTCGTTATTCGTACATGCTTCGGTTCTTAGAACATGTCGTAGGAACACCGTGACGGGCGTTCCCTGTTCAATCTGCACGGCGGAGTGGCCCCTCGCTGGATGGACCTTCGGTGTGCGGCTCAACGTGTTCGCACGTTTTCGCGGGTCCCTGAAGGTTTGCGCTTCCTCCTCCTCCTCCTCCTCCTCCTCCTCCTCCTCGCCCCCCTCCTCCTCCTCTTCCTTCTCCTCATCCTCCTCCTCCTCCTTTTCCTCTTTCCTTTCTCCCCCACCCCTTCCCTTCCCCCTCCTCCTCCTCCCCCCCCCTGCCCCTCCCCCTCCCCCTCCTCCTCCTCCTCCTCCTCCTCCTCCTCCTCCTCCTCCTCCAACTCCAACTCGGCATGCGTTCCAACGATTGCGCTTCGCCCAGAGCGTGGCGGGGGCGCTCAGGTCGTCCCGAGCGGCCGTCGGAGGCCGAAGCTCTGGCCCGAGAGCCGAGTGACCCTTCGCCAGAAGGACCTCCTCGTCCTCCTCCTCCTCCTCCTCCTCCTCCTCGTCCTCCTCCTCCTCCTCCTCGTCCTCCCTCCTCCTCCTCCTCGATCCTCGATCCTCGACCCGCCCCTCCCGTCAAGTGCGCAGCTTGCGGGGGAGTGCGGGGGAGCCACCCGCCAGCGAGCTGGCCGGTACTGGCGCATCGCATGTGCCGATCGTCTTGACGCCCGAGATGGGCACGGAAAGAATGGGTACGATGTCCAACAGCAGTTCCTGTTCATTCTGAAGAGGATTCGCTGTCCACGCCGCCGCGGCCTGTGTCCATTCGAGACAGGAGGCCGCCCGCCCAACAGCGGCCGCTGATGGCCTGGGACAGTATTTGTTGTTGGGCATTGTACCCATTCTTTCGGTACCCATTTCGGGTGTCCAAAGATCGGCAAGCCGCGCACCAGATGTCACTCTTGCCTCGGGTCACTCTTGCCTGTGGTCACTCCTTGCGTGTAGCTGGTCCTTGCGGTGGACGAGCGGGGGTCGCTGGGTGGAAAGCAAGGGTTTCCGCGGTTCAGGTGATTCGGCTGCTTCTCAGTCGGCTACAATCGGTCGGTTCGCCAGGTGCATGAAGCAGTTTCGCTAATGACCCATGTTTGCTGTCCCCTCTCTTGGCTGCCCCGAGGTTCGCGGTGCACCACGACGGCGGGTACAGGCCGAAGACGGTCTTCATCTGGAAGAGCACTAAAGGACATACGCATCCATTTTCGGAGGTCCGCGCGGAGTTCTGGGGTCGGGAACTGGACTTCTTGAGTGCAGTCGGACCTCCGAAAGTGTCAGTGCTTGTGCGTCCTTCTGTTCTTCTGCCATTTACCTCAACGACCTGCCCGCAGGCGCGGGCGGCGAGACCCACTTCCCAGTCCTCGGCCTCAGGGTGGTGCCGCGGCGCGGCTGCGCCGTCGTGTGGTCGAACCGTGGCCCCGGCGGCGGCGACGACCCGCGCCTGGTCCACCAGGGCCTGCCCCCCACCGCCGGCGTCAAGTACGGCGTGAACTGCTTCTTCAACGAGCGCGTCGTGCGGGCGCCCGTGGCGGCGCCCGGGCTCGCGCCGGCCGCGGCCCCGCGCCCGCGCGCGCCGGCGGTGGTCGGCGGCAGAGCCGCGGCCTGGCAGGGCGCCACCGCCACGGTCGCCCCGCGCGCGGGGCTCCCCGCGCGGGTGCTGGTGCAGTGGCCCGCGGGTGGCCACGAGCGGCGAACGTGTCTGATGGGTTTGTTTTCCACCACCACCACCACCACCACCGTAAGTTGGAGGGGGAGGGGGTCCTCTTCCTCCTCCTCCTCCTCCTCCTCCTCCTCCTCCTCCTCCTCCTCCTCCTTTCCCCCTCCAACTTATGGTGGTGGTGGTGGTGGTGGTGGAAAACAGGCCCATCAGTGTCCGTGTCTCGGCAGCGAGCGAGGGGGGGGTAAAAGGTGAGGAGGGGGCGGGCCTTCGCAGAAGGCCCGGAGGTCCCCCCCCCCGGCCGTCCGAGGAGTCGTCGGAGCCTTCCCCGGAGACAGAAGGCACTCTCCGAGTAGTTATCCCCCCCTCGCGCGCCGCCGAGTGTCCGCCCCCTCGCGGTCTGGATGCTGGGGCGCCGTGCCGGGGAGAGCCGCGGTCGCACGGGTGCAGTCCGCGCGGGGTATCCGCGAAGAAGCGCCCCGTACCCGCGGGATCGCGGCCCGGGGGCCAGCCCGCGAGGCCGCGGATACGGATATGTTTTTCGCTCGCAAGGTGTCGCATGCCACGCCGCGGCGAGACCGCCCCAGAGCGAACATGGAACTGATACCAGCACGCCTGCCATAGCGTAAGTGGGCGAAAGCACCGAGCGGGCAGGTGTAGGCAAAACCACCGCAGCTAGGGAGGTGATACGCCTGCAGTAGCGTAGCGAGCTGGCACAGACTTATGATTGGGGACTCCAGTCAGGGCCACCAGAACGCCGCTCGCACGCGACTGAAATCTCCCCCCTCTCCCTCCTCCATATCCGCCTCCTCCTCGCTCTAGACCCCCGACACGCCGACGCGACGCATGACGAGTCGGCCATCTGAAGAGGTGAGAGAGGAAATTTCCCTTCGGACGCAGGCGATGCAGGTGTGGGGCGTCCTCAGGTCCTAGTATGGGCACCTCCCTCCTCGTCGCCCTCCCTTTGCTGCCTCACCCTGTCCCCAGAGCTCTGGTGTTTTGTTTTTTCTGCACGGGGCCGCTGGAAGGCCCGACCCATTCCCTTTTTATCCGGAGCAGTTGATTGACAGTCCTGGGGCCCCGGCCAATCAGACTACCTGAATTTCCATCAATCCGCGGCCCCTGAGGTTCCGACCCCTTCTTCGGAGCGAGTTTTACTGTTCCGGATTCATTATCAAAGGAAAAGGCCCCTGGGGCCGAATTAGGAAAAGCGCTTAGAATGGAATGAAACATCCCCAACCAGTGCTTGCACTGAGGGTATCCAATATTTGAAACATTTGGCGAAAGTGCCCATCCGATTTCGGTAGGCGGCGAGGTTACCGAGTTCCCGGTTCTGGGTTCCCCCCGTTTCCAGTTGCTGGTTCCGGGCCGATTTCGCCAGGCGGCGGGGTTCCCGGGTTTCTGGTTTCTTGGTCGATGTTCTTATCGATCGGTTTGACCATCGATCTCAGTACCCACCTCTCTTTCAATCGCATTATCGATCTCACAATCGATCTCACGAACCCGGAGTACAGATCGCACGAGCGACCTCACGATCGATTTCCATGTCGATCTCACTGGATCGACTGAACTGTCGGTCTCACGATCGACCTTGCCATCGTCCCCTCGATCGATTCCACGATCGATGCGATACAGCACGAGTTGCAATCAAGTCGCTGAAAGAAGAACCGACCTGGACCCAGGAGGGGCCCTGGTTTCCGGGCCGCTCCTCGGCTCCAGGCTGGGGGGGGGTCCTCCTCCTCCTCCTCCTCCTCCTCCTCCTCCTCCTCCTCTTCCTCCTCCTCCTCCTCCTCCTCCTCCTCCTCCTCCTGTCCCATCGGACGGAAGCGTGGCCTCCGCTCGGACGCGGCCGACGCTCCACTCCCAGACGCACGGGGTCCCAGACCGCCCAGGCATTGGCAGACAGCCCGAAGTGCTTCTGTCGCCTTCGGCCTCTGGAGGCTCTCGCCGGGCCACGGGGCCGTCAACAATTGCTCGGGATGCGGAGGCGGTCCTGGGGAAAAGGTCGGGGTTTCTGGGGGCCCCGTGTTGCAACAAAAACCATACATCGGATCTCTGGGGTTCGAGATGCGAGGGTTTCGGGAGTTTCCGTGAGGTCCCAGACCTGCAACGTATTGGAACAACCATCCTGGCGAGGGGCCTCAGCATTTGCACATGTGAGTACCGTAGTTGTGACTATCGTCTTCGGTGGATCTCCCTAAGGGGCATCGGAACGTGTGAGCGACGTGCCGACATGATGGGAAGCGCCTGCGGACTGTGCCTTTGGGGCCTTCGGTGGAGCTGCGTCTGGGGCCACGAAACGTGTGAGGGTTGTGCAGGCAAAGGCGGGGAACCGCATGCGGACTATGACGGTGGGACCTTCGGTGGAGCTCCCTCTGGGGACACGAAGCGTGTGAGGGGTGTGTCGAAATGAACGAGGATGCCTTATGCGAACGGTGCCAGTGGGATCTGCGGTGCAGCGCTCTATCCGTAGACGCGCTAACACCAATGTAGGTAACATTTGACATGTAGGAAAGTCTGGCTCGTATTTTCGTACCATTTGTTTTGCGCGAGCTCGGTGTCACAAAAATCAGATTCCCAACATCGCCGTTCATCAACATCGCCGTTAGCGCGGCCTTGGTCTATGGAGCCATGAAACGTGTGAGGGTTGTGCCGAAGTAGGAGGGTCGGCCACATGCGGACTATGCCAGTGGGACCTTCGCTGAAGCTCCTCTCATAGGGGCCACGACGCGTGTGAGGGATGTGCCAACATGGGCGAGGCGGTAAATGTGGACTGTGCCAGTGGGACCTTCGGTAGAGCGCCCTATGGTGCCTCGAAGCCAGTGAGGGGTGCGCCGAAATGGACAAACGGAAAGCAGAGGCAAGGGCGGGAAGATGGAGGAGCAGGAGGAAGAATGTGAGGTGAAGCGCGGTGCTGCGGATTCATGACGAGGGCTCAACACCACAGGATGTTTCGAGAAAAGCAGTGAGCTTTTTCGTATATTGTTGTCGCCCTCTGGAGGCCCTCGCCAGGCCACGGGACCGTCAAACACTTATTTCGGATTCAGAGACGGCATTGGGGGAAGAGTCGGGACTGCCGGGGATCCCGTGTGGAACAAAACGATGCAACGGATACAAGACGTTCGAGGATTTCAAACGTTTTCGTGAGTTCCCTGCAGTTTTCCAGCCTCGGGTTGCCTTTCGGCAGCTGCGCCTCGCCGGAAGCGTTCCGGGGATGCCCGAATAGCCAAAAAGGGCCGTCGGAGACTCGAAGTATTGTCCGAAAGCCAATTCAATAATAATCATCATCCAGGCGAGGGGCCCCACTTGGTGCAGTTTCAAGCGCCTTCGCTCTGAGTATCGCTTTCGGTGGGTCTCTTCTATGGGGCCACGAAGCGTGTGAATGGTGTGCCGGAATGGGGTTGGGCAGCCATGCGGGCGCTGGCACCTGTGCTTTAGATCGAGCCGCCCATGGGGCCACGAAGCGCTTGAGGGGTGTGCCGACATGGGAGGGGCCGCCAAGCGGGTGCTCTCACGGGGGCCTTCAGTGGAGCTTCGTTTTGGACGACGAAGCGTAGCATGCGGGCCCTGTCACTGGGACATTCGTCGGGGCCTCTAATGGTGCCGCGAAAGGTATATGGGGTGAACCGAGATGGGCGGGGCGGCTGCATGTGGACACCGCCACTGGAGCCTTCGGTGGAGCTCCATTTGGGGCCACGAAGCGCGTCAGGGTTGTGCCGGAATGGGCGGGGCGGCCGCATGTGGACACCGCCACTGGGGCCTTTGGTGGAGCTCCCTATGGGGCCACGGATCGTGTGAGAGGGGGGGCCGAAATGGGTGGGGCGGCCGCATGTGGACACCGCCACTGGGGCCTTCGGTGGAGCTCCCTATGGGGCCACGAAGCGCGTCAAGGGGGTGCCGAAATGGGTGGGGCGGCTGCATGTGGACACCGCAAGTTGGCCTCCGGTGGAGCTCCCCATGGGGCCACAAAACGAGTGAGGGTGTGGCGACATGGGTGGGGCGGCACATGCGAACTGCCTCTGGGGCCTTCGGGCTTCTCCTTATGGGGCCACGAAGCGTGTGCTGGTTGGCGTGCCGAAACAGAGGCATGCAGAGAGCAGAGGCAAGGATGCGAGGAATGAGGGAGGAATGCAGCGGGATGGAAGGGGACTCGGGGCGCTTTCTCTTTCAAACGGAGACCCAACACCACAGGATGATTGGGACAAAGCAAGTGCGGCTATTCTTTACCGTTTTCGGACTTCCCTGAGATCCGTGCACGCCGGGCGGTTTCGCCCAGTTTCGGGCCCTGGGGCTCCGGCCGTGGTCTCGCTCGATGCTACAATGCTTCTTCGCCATCGCAATTCATTGGCTGCCCATGCCTCCAGAGCGGTGCGGAGTTTGTCGATCGCCTTCGGGCTCTTGGGGCCCGCCGTTGTCTCGATTGGTCCTCCTCGGTAGGTTTGTGTCGCGTCGAGACGCGGCGGCAACCCCGCCGCGGGCGTCCAAGGTTGAACGCCGCCACTGGCCCAGAGTCGACCGGCGCGGAACGACCTGGCGATCGAGACGCCGCCGGTCTTTCCAGGCTCAACGATCCGCGCCGTGTCAGAAGCCAGCGCTTCGTGGGTCGTCACGGCACGAAATTGCCCCGCCGTGGCCGGCGCGGACCTCCTCCTCCTCCTCCTCCTCCTCCTCCTCCGCCTCCTCCGCCTCCTCCTCCTCCTCCTCCTCCTCTTGCTCCGCCTCCTCCGCCTCCTCCTCCTCCTCCTCCTCCTCCTCCTCCTGCTCCTCCTCCTCCTCCTCCTCCTCCTCCTCTCCTCCTCCTCCTCCTCCTCCTCTCCTCCTCCTCCTCCTCCTCCTCCTCCTCCTCCTCCTCCTCCCCCCCCCCCGGCCAGGCCGGTGCACCAAGGCCGAGGCCTGCACCTTCGCCCACTCCGCCGACGAGCTGGCCCCGGAGATCCCGGGGGGGGGGGGGAGGGCCGCACTCGGGGCGGCGGCGGCCCGGGCAGTTCGGCGGAGGCAAAGGTAGCCATGCCGCTACCCTCGGGGGCGGAAAAGAGGGGGATGATGACCCGCCCAAGTCAGAAGATCCCCGCACCCCGCGGAGAGCGATCCGCTCGGGGCGTGGTCTCGCAGACCCCCCGGGCTCCTCCGCCCGAGCCGCTCTTGACCTGCCCTGGGGGGCCGAGACCGGTCGAGGGCGAAGACGGTGAGCCACCGGGGCGCGGCCACGATCGTCGGGGGCGGAAAAGAAGGGGGTGATGACTAGGGGGGGGTGAATATCATGGCGGGGGCCATGATATTTCCCCAGGTTTCACGGCGCCTCTTCTTGTTTCATTGCGTCCCTGGCCCCCCCGCTGGGCCGCGCACGTGCCGCCGGTCATGATTTGCACCCCCCCCTCTTGGACACCCCCCTCTTTGCCGCTCCCGATACCCTTCGCCCGTTTTGCCTTTTTTGGGCCTCCTGGGAGGCCCTCGTCGCCACCGCTGGATTCGCGTCGAACGCATGGTCAGAATTAACGCACCCAGGGAGTGGGCCAAGGAGTGGCGGCATCGGTACCTTGTGGCTTCCCCAGTGCTCGTTGCGGGGGCGGCTCAGGCAGTGGCACATCCAGAGGTTCGGGTCTGTGTCTCGCGCCGTGTGCGACGTTTTCGCACCCGTGTCATCTCTATCAGCCCTCCTCTGCCGCCGAGCGCCGTTACGACCAATTCTCATTTGTTTTGGCCGCTGAGTGCCGCTTCGACAATGATTTGTGTTGTCGATGCTGTCATATACAAGCCTATGATAATACAGAAACGTATGTTATTGTGTCGCTAGCGAGGTTCCGCGCCCGGGTGTCCAGGCTAGCAGTCACTCGCGGCGGTGGTACAAGTTGGGATAGCGCTCTGCGGTTCCTCCTCCTCCTTCTCCCCTGACAAAAAAGGAAAGGCCAAGCCCTGACCTCCAACGTATGGAACAATTCGATTCAGATCTATCTCTGCGATTTAAGCATCCTGGGTTCCTCGCAGGGCCCATGGACCCTCCCTCCAAACACGATCCAGGATGGTAAATCAGACTCGGGGAAAGGATGCAACAACAGACTTTGGGAAAGGGGGGGCGGCGGCTTACAGCAAGCACATCAGATAAGACAGCGGCCTACCATCAGGTGCATTGCGTTTCCCTCGATGGCCCCAGGGGCCCACCCTCAAGGGTCAACGCAGAATTTACCCTTGATTGTAGTGGCCTTCGGCCAGTGCCGCCGATCCGGGTCGCTCGGTGTTATTCTCCAGACGCAGACATTATGGGCGCACACTCAAACGCACACGATACGTCTTGCACGGAGTCTTGTTACGAAACATGTGGCCTGGACGATGTAGTGCGAGCGGTGGAGGCGAGCCTATCGGCGCAAGGACGCCCTCTTGGGGCGTTTTTTGAGCCATCTTAGGAGCCTGTCAGGGCGTCGTGGGGGCTTCTTGGGGGCTTTGGGGGGCCCTCTTGGGGGCTCTTGGGGCCTCCTGGGGGCCTGGTGGGCTGGAAGGCTGGATTTTTTCCGTTTTTCGTCCCTCTTTTGGGTCCTCTTGGGGCCGTCTTGGGGGCCTCTTGGGCCGTCTTGGGCGGCTCTTGGGCCGCCTTGGGGCCCTCTTTGGATGTCTTGGGACTGTCTGGGAGCCTCCTGGGCCGTCTTCGAGCGGTCTTGGGGGCCTCTTGGGCCGTCTTGGAGCGTCGGAAAGCAGAAAAAAGCGACAACCCCAAAAACAGTCTAAAAAACCAATGGAAATCAACGATTTTTGCTTCTGGGGTCCCTCGTGGGAGGCCTCTTGGAGGCCTCTTCAGACGTCTTGGAAGGCTCTTGGGCCGTCTTGGGGCCATCTTGGGCGTGTTTGGGCGATCTTTCGAGGTCTCGGGACTTTCTCAGACCGTACTCAGAGACTTTTGCGGCCGCGGCCACCCTTTCAGCGCATCCTCGAGATTTGAGCCTTATGTAGAAGCAGCCCCCCGCATCCGCCGGAAACTCGCACCCCCCCCCCCATCCCCCCTTCCCCGGCAGAGCCACCCCAGCACCCCCCCCAGAGGCTGAGGCTCAGCCTCGAGGCTGTAGCTGAGACTCCTTGAAACTCACACGCCGGATCGGCGGATTTTTTGTTCGCAAAATAGGCAGTGCCAAGGCGAGGGTAGAGGTCAGGGCCTTCTTCCGCATCTCCCAAATCTCCTACGATCTGAAATTTCGCGATGATGGCATCTGGGGCCCGAGAGTGGGCCTCAGCAGCATCAGAGTTCGATCCAGGACGGAAAACTATGTCTTGGGACGGGGGTGGGGACCTCTGGGGCAGAGCATTGAACATATCATCACGACGTGCCGTAGGATGACTCGTTATTCGGCATCCCGTTGCCAAGGGCCGCCAAATATCAATGCGGGATGGAAATCTTCCCAGGATGGGTCCAGGGACCGATTTTGACAGGATTTGGGTTGTCGTCGCTGTCGTCGTCGTCGTCGTCGTCGCAGTCGGCCAGGTGTTGCCAAAGGTGTCCTGGCCAATGGTGCCCCCAAGGATTTCCAGAGATGCCCCCACGGCCTCCAAAACACCCCTCACGAGGCCCAGAGGGACCCAGGGGCTTCAGAATGGCGCGAAAAGCTGCGAACACTCTGGGCCAGGAACGCTTATGCCCCCCCCCCGCGAGTAATTGGGATCGCAAGCTCATCCTGAGGAGCGAGGTTCGAGGATCAATGCTGCTTTTCTAGACGATTTGGGCAATTTGTTGGGATTTGCGGGGGCGCTTCGGGTGGTGGTGGTTCTGAGGGGTCCTCCTCCTCGGTGGCGAACCACCCTGTGGTGACATCCCCTTGGCACTGTCTGGGCAGGAAGGGGCGTCCCCGAGGTTGTGCCAGCACCCCCGTAAGCCTTGCGTGACGAAAACTCGGCCTGGAATGAACGGGTCCTTGAGTCCTGGAGTTTGGCAACGATGGGGGAGTGCGCGCGCGGGGCATACAAGAAATTTGCAAGACGTTGCGTTCAAAGAACATATGGTGTTTCTCATGCATCTGGAGAGCCACATTGACCTGATTCGAACACCAATGACTTGGGAAGAATTTCGACGCGCGCGCGCGCGCGCTGCGTCGCGCACGTGCGGCCCGCATGCCATCATTTGCTAAAGATCGTGCACGTGGCGCATGCTGGGTCAACGCGGACGGACTGCGTGGTGAAATGAAAATGCGGGTTCTGAGCGAGATTGCTAAAATAGAATGGCTTTCTTTTGATTTCGGTAAGTGCGTCCGGGCAGAGGACCAGAAACATGTGTGACGAAGCATCTCAGGACTTTTCAGAATGCTTGCAGCATTGGTGTGTGTGTGTGTGCGTTGTGGTGTGACATCGGTTGGTGCGCGCACGTGGATGTTGTGTAATTGCTGTGGCTGCAAACTACATATTTTGAGATAGCCGCGTGCGCGCATAGTATCATCTGACATGGCTGTGGATGGTGTGGGTTCAACTGGAAACGAACGATGGGGCAGAACCATGTGTAATGTTAAGGAGAAGCTGAGTAATAGAGCATGCCCTTCTGCCTTGAAAAAGGTGCCTCGAGTGCTGGGACGGAGTGGCTACCGCGCCTGGAGGGTGGCGCCTGGCAGACCGCGCCGTGCCCGACACGCGCGCGCTGCTCCTTTGGGCCTGGGTAGCCCGCGAGGCCCGCGAGGTGGCCAGGCGGCGTGCCGGCTTTCGGCACCTGCGCGTGGGGGTCGACAAAGGGGCCACCAGGCGGCTCCTCGAGAGCGGGGAGCTGGCGGCCGACGCCGCGGGGGCCTTTCGCGCCGTCCTTGCCCGACACGTCGTCACGGAGGCGGTGGCGGCACAATGGGGGCCCCCTGCGGTTTGCCCACAGTGCGGCGCGGCGTGCGACGACTTCGAGCACTGCTTCTGGGCATGCCCCCGCTGGGAGCCCGCGCGCGCCGCTACGCTGAGGCCTGAGGACCTCGCGTGCGCCGCGGCCCGCGCGCGACTGCCGGCCCAGACGGCGCTCACGGGGGCGTTGCCCGGGCACCCCCCGCTGGCTGCATTGGCGGACCAGGCGCACTGGCCGTTGCCGCACCCAGCCCTGCTGGCTGTTGCTGCGAACACACCCCGCGCGCGCCTGGCGGGATGGCGGCTGCTTGCGCCCCACTGACCCCCTCTTCACCAGGGCAGGGTGGGGGGTGGTATTGGACCAGGGCGCTGGCCGCCACGAGCACCGCAGGCCCGTTGGCACACAGACCGCGCAGCGCGCCGAGCTCACGGCAGCGATGCATGCCGTCAGCCTGGCAGGTGGGGCCTTCGAGATAGTGACCGATTCCCGCTTCGTCAGCAATGGCTTCGCTGCGATTAGGGCCAGGGCGACCACCGAGGACCGGGCCCACGCAAACATGTGACATGAGTTGATCGTCCCTCACTGCCGCAGCGGCGCGCTGGCCGCACGATGCATCAAAGGGCACTTCGACGCCGCGGATGCCCAAGAGCGCGGCGTGTCACCGGAGGGCCGCTCCGGTAACGCCGCGGCTGACTTCCTCGCGGGGACGGCGACCGAGGTTCGGCTGCTCCCGCTCGCGCTGCGACAGGAGCGGGAACGGCATCTGGACCACGGGCACGGCCCGGGAGGCCCGCGCGTGCGGCGACGTTGGTCGCAGGCAGGGCATCGCCGCCGCCGCGCGCCCCGCGTGGCTGACGACGCTGTGGTAGCGGCGGCGGCGGCCCCGCAGGTGGGGCAGGGGCCAGCGCGCGCGCGAGGCCGAGGGGCGGCCGCCGCGGAGAGGGCCCTGTTCGCCGGCAGCGCGTGGTGGGGGCACGCCGCCTCCTAAGGCCCCGCCTGGGTGGCCTGCGTGGCCTGCGGGCGCTGGGCCCCGCAGTGGGAGCGCCTCGCGCGCCGCCCCTGCGGCAGGTGGGCGCCGCGCTTGCCCCCGCTTTCGGCCAGCCAGCTGCTTTCCGGACGCCCCGCGCGCCAGGAGTCGCGAGGCGGCATGGCGGGCTGCAGTGCGGCGGCGCCTGCTGGAGCGCCCGGGCGCGCCCGACTAGTTTGTGTGCCGCTGTCCCGCGCGCCAGCCAGGCGCGTTGTTTCGTCTTCTGTAATGCTCCTCCTTCCCGGCCCCTCCTCCTCTTCCGGCTCCTCCGCGCTCTGCTTGCCACCCGCTGTCGCCGCTGGGCTCCTTCCAGATGGTGAAACATGAGCAAGCCATACGGTGTGAGTCGGAGGTGAGAGCTGTGGGGGGGCAAGCTGTATGATGTAAGCTGCATTGTGTAAGGCGGTTGGTGTAAGTTGCGTGGTGCTCGCTGCGTGGTGTGAGCTCCGAGCGCGGGGCGCCCTCGATGCGCCCACGAGGCGGCGCGAGCGGCAACGTGGCGCAACCTCGGCCTCCCCCCCCCGGCGCACGGGCCGGGGCGCCCGCGAGGCGCCCACGGGGCGGCACTGGCAGCAGCGTGGCGCAACCTCGGCATGCCCCCCGAGTGCAGGGCGCCCACGAGGCGCCCACGAGGCGCCACGGGGGCGGCGGCAGCGTGGCAAACGCGTATCATACCCACCCTCCTCCTCCTCCTCCTCCTCCTCCTCCTCCTCCTCCTCCTCCTCCTCCTCCCTCCTCCTCCTCCTCCTCCTCCTCCTCCTCCTCCTCCTCCTCCTCCTCCTCCTCCTCCTCCTCACCAACTCCATAACTGAGACGTAACAGCCCCTGACTGCAAACACACAGTTTTGGGGCATAGGTTTGGCCTCTTGGGTTGTCCCCCTGGGCCACCTGCACGGCCCACGAACCCTGCCAGAGGGCTCCAGGACGGGCCCTGAGACTTCTCATATCCCGCTACCTTGGTTCTCTCTTTGCGCATCCTTACGGCAACATTTGGTGTTATGGTGTATCCTGTGCTCTGTGGTGCTTCGAGTGGCGAGAACAGGGTTGGGTTGGGCTACAACGCGCAAGCGACGACAGCCCAGGAAAACCGATGATCCACGGAGCGCTTCAATCCAGCAAGTACGTCAGAAATCACGGCCGTGCCCCTAAACAGGCTGCATGTATGGGTTCTGTGCACATCCGTAAACCTACAGACGTCTACACAGATCTCTTCTAACGCCCCGTGGGGGAGCCCAGGCCCCCGAACTCGGTGGCCCACCGTGGCCCTCCGTCGTGCCCCCACCATCGTGTAACTGTGCAGAGCTGGTCGAGGCCCTCTGCCGCAGGGGTGTCACGCCTGTTCGGGCGGCTGTCCGAGTCTGGCGCGGGCGCGGGCCCGAGCGGCTTCCTTGCCTCGGGCCAGGTGCTCCGGACCAAGAGTGGCTCGAGCCAGGGCGGCCGACCCCGCACCCCCTTCGCTGTCTCATCTATGCAGTGCGCCGGGAAACATCTGTTCGGTCGCAAGTCATGGGAGCCATACCCTAGTAGCTCCGTCTCTAGCGCGGGTTCGCGACGGCTGGCGAATGGTCATCGATGGGACAGCGTATGGCTTGCGTCGATTAGCGTCTATTTAGCGTCGATCCGCGTCGATTCGAAACAGCCATCAGGGAGGCCCCCATGAGTTGCCGCAGCACTGCTTCAGCTCGAGGCCAAGCGAACCACCAAAGTGCGGTGGGGACCCCCGTGGGCCCGCCCCAAAGGCCACTGCGGCGAGCCCTCCCCTCGCGCGAACACGGCCCCCCCAGGACTCGCCGGAGGCCCAGCTGTACCAGCAGCCGCCCTCGAATGAGGAGGAGCTGCAGGCGCGAGGGGAGGGACCCCGGGCGGGGCAGGAGCGGCCAGCCCCAGGGGGGCTGGCGCAGAGCGTTGGAGGTACGCGCCAGCACCCACGTGCAGAGCGCGCGTCGGCCATACGCAGAGTGGGGCAGGGGTGCAGGGGAGGGGGGACAGGCTTCTTAGAAGCACCCCTGCTCCTTATAGACGGCGCTGGCCTCATCCATAGATGTGAGGCCGGGGCCTTCTCGGAAGCAGGGCGCTCCTAAGAAGCCTTCCCCCCCTTCCACCTACAACCCCCCTCTGCGCGCCGCCAAGCGAGGGCTGCCCCCCCACCGCCGAAGGGGGTGGGGGGGGCAGGGGTGGACTGGTGAGGGAGAGGGTCGGCGGCCATACCGGGGGGGAAGCGAGAGGGGGCGGGCCTTCTCTCGCAAGGCTTGGGAGTCCCGCGGCCTGCCGAGAGTTTTTCTGAGTCCTCGGACGGCTCGAGGGTTTCAGCCTCGCTGCCTTCTGAGATGGCCTTCTCCTTCGCCCTTCCCCCCCTCGCTCGCCGCCGAGAGGGAGAAGGGGATCAGGGGAGTGCAACAGTTGAGTCAGGCGAGAGGCTTAGCACGGGGCCCCGCCTCCATGCAAGCCGACGCTGTTCGTCACCGAATTGGGCGGCAATGGCTGCATGTTTTGGGGGGGTCCTTTCTCCGATCCGCGGAAGCGTGTGACCGAGGGGAGGTCGAGGGAGCCAACCAGGGGGGGGAAGGTAGGAAGGTGAGCAAGGAGAGGAAAGTGGGCTCGGGATTCTGGCAATTTGGGTCGTTCATTCCGCCCAGTAGCTTCGTCGCGATCGCGTGGCAGCTCAAACAGAGGTGGCCGCCAGTGAGCCTTCGCAGCGCCCAGATTCTGAGGAATGGACCTCCCACAGGAAGGGGGGCGCACTCTCTCCCGCGAAGACCAACCAATAACGCACATGTACTCGTAACCGCTGCAAGAACGCATGTGTTTCCCCAGTACGTCGCATTCCTTTGAAAGGAAAAGCCCCGAGGCAAATGTCAGAGACGACACGACCGAGGACAAACGACGGACGCAAGAGTACGTGCACCAAGAGGGATATCCAACATGCGTCTCGGAACGCATGCGCGTGACGTAAATATGTCACGTGTTTCGGTCGCCAGAAGGGTGTGAAGTCTGAGACGAAACTCCCTAGACGGCGTAGCGCAGCACACCGCGCAGCACGGCACGGCGTAGCCTTGCACAGCAATGGCTAGCATCCCATCTCGTGCCCACGCGAGCGTTTAGCGGACGTGTCAGGAGAAAGTCAGCCTCTCGGGGCCCGATGCTCATCCATGTCCCAGTGCGCCGCGGGCTTCTGGGGGAGGGAGCTCAAGACTCCAAGCTGCAGCGGACATGGGCACGAGTCTTGCCCGCATGCTGGAGGTCGGGGCCGCCGCTGCCCCACGCGCACCACTCACGAAGAGCACGTCCTGCCGTACTGGCCCCCAGGCCTGGCGGCAGACGCCTGGCCGAGCTGCCGCATGCCCGGGCCGACGGCCGCCCGGAGTGACTCCTTCGGCCAGGGGCCCGCCCCGCCCTTCCGTGCGGGGCCGAGGCAGCGGAGGACCGCCCCGAGCTGCCGCAGCATCGTGATCGCTTTCTTATTCACCGTTTTGCCGATCGGCGCGGGCCCTCGCACCCCCCCTCCCCCATGGAGAAGATCCTGGCTGTTTGTGGCGCCTGTTTCACGCAGGTGGAGTCTCTCCCCCCACAGGAAGCACAGCTGCAAACATTCGTATGGAGCAGAGGTTTGGTTTGGAGCCAGCCCCCCCCCTTCCCCCCCCCCGTTCCGCCCAATGTCGAAACGCCGAAAAAGAAAACGTTCACATGTTCGTTGTATAGCTACCGCGTCTTGATTCGGCTGCCGCCGCATATGGATCTTGCGGCGAGCGAGGGGGGGCAGCGAGAAGGAGAAGAAGGCCTTCCCAGAAGGCAGCGGGACTTCTCGGAAGCCCCCGCGCCCGAGCCTTCTGAGAAGGCCCGCTCCCTCTCACTTCCCCCCAAGGCTCGCCGCCGATGTATAGCTGCCGCGTCGGGATTTAGCTGCACCGCATCTTGACTGCAGGTCGCTCGCGCTCTGCTGCCATCTGCGACTCGAGATGACACCCAGGAGCCCCAGCGGCGAGCATCAGGTCCCGGAGCTGACTGCCGGTGCGCCTTTTGGAGGCCGCGTCTATGGGGGCGCCATGAATGGGGGAGGTGGCAGCGAGGGCTTCCGAAAAGGGGCCCTTTCAGGCCCCTTATGAAGGAGCCCTTGGGGCCCCCAGAGGGGACCTTAAAAGGGAACAAGCACCTTCCTCCTCCCCCCGCCTTTATATTCAGGAGGGGGGAAAACACACCGACACAATTAATCGTCGACCCCCAGGAAAATATGGGAAAATATGGGCAGTAAATGCTGGGAATCCTGTCATTTGTGTGCGTACTTCCTTGTGTGTCCTTGGGCCCCTTCATATACCGCTCCCATGCAGACTCGCGCCCAAGAGGCTGCCGCGCCAAGACAAGATCACGAGGCCGAGGAGGGCGGGGCGCGCGGCGTGGTCTCGGCAGACAGGCAGGCGCTGGCGCGCGCCGGGCCCTTCGGGCGGCGCAGGCGAAGGATCGGTGGCCAGCCCGAAGGGGAGAAAGCGCGAGGGGGGCGGGCCTTCTCTCGCAAGGCTCGGGAGTCCCCCCGGCCTTCGAGAAGTTTTCTGAGCCCTGCGCGGGAAACCTCCAAGAGGGCGCGAGCCAGCGGCCGCTGGCATCGCATTGTCATGCTCTAAGGGTCCAGACTGTGGAGTGGAAGCTTCGGAAGAGGAGGAGAACAGGAGCAAGAGTGGAGGAGGAGGAGGAGGAGGAGGAGGAGGAGGAGGAGGAAGACCAGGACATGGCGCAAGGGCGTGAGAATGGAGCGGATGAGGAGCAGGAGAAGGTGGAGGAGAAGGAGCCGAGGAGGTCGCGGTGCCGAGGAGGAGGAGGAGGAGGAGGAGGAGGAGGAGGAGGAGGAGGAGAAGAAGGAGGAGCGGGAGTGCGAGAGGGGCGGCCGAAGGAGGCGGAGGAGGGGGCGGCGGCGCAGGGCAAGTCTGCAGCAGGCAGCAGTCGGGAGCTCGAGCTGGGCGGTGGAGTGCGGCCGGCGCGCCGGCGCGGCAGGCGCTGCAAAAAACAAAAAAACAGGCCGAGCTGGACGAGGCGCTGCAGGCCGCGGAGCCGGAGGACGAGCAGGCTGACGAGGAGGCCGCGGCGGAGGAGGTCGCCGACTGCCCGGTAGACGAGGCCGCGCGGGGGGAGGGAGAGGGGGAGGCAGGGCGGGGGAGGGCTCCAGGAGGATATACAGGGGCGGGACTACTGAAGATGCACGTGGGTGACGCGCCGCTGCCGCGATCGCTCGTTCTGTTCTCACCGCTGACCTGGTCTATTTCTTTCTTCTTCTTCTCTCTTTCTTTTTCTCGTTCTGTTCCCACCGCTGACCTGGTCTATTTTGTTTGGGACTCAGACTGCGTCCCTGAAGCCACGCACGCTCGAACGAACGGGGGGTAGGGTGGATGTCAAGCAGTGGCGAAGCGCCCTGGCTTGCGTGCATGCCCATTAAATAATGTTATGATAGCCTCTCGTGGTTTGCACGAAACGTTCTGATAGCGCTTCTGGTCAAAATGGCTTTGGTGTAACACATCAGCTCTATGCTCTGAGCACATTGTTAGGGGTATCAGAACATCCGTTCATGCTAACCACATCTCGCGGCAGGGCTAAAGGAACGCCAGGACGGTGCGCCCCTGTTCAAGTGGATGGGTGGAGGGAGGGACGGAGCAGGAGAGGGGGCGGAGACAAGCTGGGCACCATGAGCGGCGCAGCTGGACAACATGCTGGAGGACTGACACATCGGAGATGAGGCTCATGCTGCAGCGGGAGCACCATTCGGAAAGATCGACGAGGCGGAGCAGAGGGCAGCGCTGCAGCGTGAGCGCCAGCCAGAGGGACCCAGAACGCGAAACTCAGACCAGCGTTGCATCGCGATCGCGACTCTGAAGGACCAGAAGCGCGGAGATGAAGCCAGCACTGCAGCAGGAGCACTGGTCTGAAATTCTGAAGGACCGACAATGCTCGGATTGGAACAGCAAGACATATGAAGTCGGAGGTTGGGGGGAGAGATCGCAGTGAAACGGAGAGCCCCCGATCGGTTTCGCTTTCGATTTCCTGTCGTGCGTGCGGGCAGAGCGAAGCTGCGTGGGCGAGGGACAGGAATGACCTCGCCGTCGCTAGGGCGATTCGGATGCAGTGGGCCGCCCCTCCGCCCCCGGTGGGCGCGCGGTGGCCCGCGGTGGCCCGCCGTGGTGTCCTGTGTTGTGCAGTTTGTGTCCAGTTGGTGTCTCGTCGGTGTTACTTCGGCGGTGGGCGGGCGGTGGCCGGGGCTGTCCCGCCTCAGTATCGCGAGTGCAGTCGATAGTGAGATCGATAATGAGATCGCTGGAATGGGATGAATAGTGTGATTAACAGTGAGATCGACAGCGAGGTTGATTGTGACATTGGTTGTGAGATCGATCGTGAGGTCGATAGTGGGATCGATTGAGGAGTCGATAGTGAGATCGATAGATATCGATCGTGAGATCGACAGTGTGATCGATCGTGAGAACGATAGTGTCATTACATCGCAGCGCAACATCGTCATCACGCGTCGTCGCTAACTCGAGGGTGCGTCGCCAGCACCGTCAACATCATATCCATCACATTTGCCAGCAGGTGGTGTTTCCCCCCTCCCACCCCCCAACCTCCTTATCACCCGAAGGGTGGTCGTATAGGTACCGATTTCTGACATCCTGCGTGCAAAAATAAACGCTGCGCGGAGATGGCGGGGCATTTTCCGGACACAGTCAGGAGAGTGAGGACCGTAGTTGTGGAACGCAGGAAATGCAGGAACGCAGGAAACGGGGAGGAGGAGGGGGAGAAGGAGAAGGAGGAGGAGGAGGAGAAGGAGGAGGAGGAGAAGGGGGAGGAGGAGATCGAGGAACAGCAGGAACGCGAATAGCAGGAACGCAGGAAACGAGGAAGTTGAGGAGGAGGATGAAGAGGACGAAGTCATGACGTTTAGTTGTGGAACGCAGGAAGCGAGGAGGGGGAGAAGGGATAGGGGAGGAGCGGGGGATGGCGGAGGGGAGCAGGGGGCAGCCTCAGGAGGAGGAGGAGGAGGAGGAGGAGGAGGAGGAGGAGGAGGAGGAGGAGGAAGAGCGGCGGCAGCATCGTGCGCATCGGGAGCCAGGCGCAGGAGCCGAGTCAGGGTGGGGGGAGCGGGCGCGGGAGCGGGGCAGCCCGGGGGCAGGGGGAAGGGGGCGCGGCAGGGGCGGGAGAGGGCGCGCGGAGGCCGAGAGGAGCAGGGGCAGACTGGCACGAGGGGACTGCTCCTTGGCATCGCTCGGACGCGTGCATGTCTTCCTCGGCGAGGGCCCTCGGGGAGCAGCTCGCATCACCCTGCGCAGCATACGCGCACGACGTCGAGACATGCACGGGGAGGGGATGTCCGATCGATGCCGAGTAGAAGGGGGCGGTCTGATTTGGGCTGGGGAGTGATTTGAGCTGTCTTGGAGTGTTCCGGCGGGGCGTGGGCAAAAGGCCGCCCTTTCATGGCTGGTCCGGGGGGGGGGGGGTCTAAAGCTGCTCGGTTGGGAGGGTCGTGACCCCCTCCCTTTGATTACGAAAGTTGGAGTACGGTCTGGAGGCTTGCGGTTTTGAGGAGTTTGGGTTGGTTTCCAGCCACGCGCAGAGGGGAGTCGGGTCACGACCACCTCGAGTCAGGAGAAAATCGCAGTGGAAGGTGTGTTCACTATTTTTGGTCTCTTCGGGCCCTCACGGGGCCTCGGGACCGTCAGAAAACGACTCAGGATAAAAAGCCGGTCCCAGGGAATGGGTCGAGACCTAATCGTGACGTCGGGGTCTTGGGATAGGGGGAGGGTGGAATACGTCTTAGAAGTTTCCCTGCTTCTTAGATGGTGCGAGTCTTGTCGATAGATGCAAGACCCACGTCATATAAGAAGCAGCTTCCTTCGAAGATGCCTTCCCCCCTACTCCTACTCCCTTTTGAGCGCCGCCAGTTCTCGGCGGCGTTGCAGCCTCGGCATCGGAGCCAGCTGGGGATCTGAGGTGGCCCAGCACTGGCCCGGGCCAGCAGGAAGGGCGGGCAGGTTTGAGGTCCTGGGTTTGGGCAGGCGTTTTGTGTTGTGTTGCCTCCGTGGGCAGTTTTCGGGCCCCGGAGACCGTCGAAAGCTGGTCCGGGGTGAACGAAAGCACCCCAGAAGGGGGCATGGGGACAATTTTGAGTGGATTCGGCTTCAAGCCCTTCTCCTGACATCTAGAGGGGAGACAACACACAGACACGATTAATCGCCGATCCCCAGGGAAATATTGGAAAATAGGGGGGACACGGAAATACAGAACATATACGACAATAGAAGGACTCGTTCTGGATTTCTGTGTATGTGCGTGCGTGCGTGCGTGCGTGCGTGCGTGCGTGCGTGCGTGCGTGCGTGCGTGTAGTGCTATTGCGTGTGCGTGTGCGTGTGCGTGTGCGTGCGTGTGTGTGTGTGTGTGTGTGTGTGTGTGTGTGTGTGTGTGTGTGTGTGTGCGTGTGCGTGTGCGTGTGCGTGTTGCGTGTGTGTGTGTGTGTGTGGTGTGTTTGTTGTGTGTGTGTTGTGTGTGTTGTGTGTGTTGTGTGTGCGTGTGCGTGTGCGTGTGCGTGTGCGTGTGTGTGTGTGTGGTGTGTGTGTGTGTGTGCGTGCGTGTGTGTGCGTCCCTGGGGGCCCCTTCATGACTCATTTTCTGGGGTTCTCAGAGGCAGCGTTCGGGCAGCGGCGAGGGAGGAGGGTGAGCAGCGCCGGGAGGCGCAGGAGGAGCGGTAGGCGGGAGGAGGGCGAGCACAAGGGGCGCGGGCCGGGAGCATGGGCGGGAGGCCGTCTTGGGACCTTTTCTGGGCAGCACGGCATGCAGTGCAGACGAGGGGTGGAAGAGGATGCCATCGCGTGCCGAGCCCAGGTGCCTTCAGCACAATCTGAAGGCACCCCCAAGCCTTCACCCCCTCCAAGAAGAGGGCGGGGAGGGGCAGTCGCCAGCGACCAGGGGGACGTCGGGCCCTGGTGGCCAGCGAGGGGGAAGAATCCCCCGACCGTCAGCACCGCCTGCTCCTGAGACTGCGAAAAACCGTCTGCCAAGTCTGCCAAGGTCCCCCTCAAGCTTTCGTCAGGCCTGCGCAGTGTCTTAAGAGCAAGAGCGCAGCTGAGCAAAGGAGGACGTGCAGGCAGCTACGCAGCTCGGACATGCCGAAGCAAGGTGCGGACGACGCTGCGGAGGAGGAGGAGGAGGAGGAGGAGGAGGAGGAGGAGAAGAAGGAGCAGGAGGAGGAGGAGAAGCAGGAGGAGGAGGAGGAGGAGGAGGAGGAGGAGCAGAGCATGGACAGCGCGAGCACCACATCTGCAAGTGGCCAGGGAGGTTAACCTTGCCTTTCTTACAGTCCATGGCGGACCGAGTTCGGCCAGCCGTGGGGGGGGGGCGGGGGGGGCACTGAGGCAGACCTGCGCGAAGAGCCAGGACGTGGAGAAGAAGGAGGAGGAGGCGGAGGAGGAGGAGGAGGAGGAATAGGAGGAGGAGGAGGA